AACGAACGGAGAATACATCAAATGCTTTATAAGTCAGATATAAGTGGTTTTTGGAGTAATGCTTATTAAAACTTTTCGGTTTGTTTTCACGAGTACTCCTAAAAGGTACCACTTTTTTCAATACTGTATATTTGTATATAAACATAATTGAGAATTTATTTTGATTATATTTATCCTTACATTTAATTATTATGTTTTTGTAAATTTATATTTAAATATTGTGCTACATAAATAACATAATGTTTTTGCAGCGCTTACTAAATTTATTTATGTATTATTACGATAAATGTGTACTTTTAAATTAATCTTTTTTCCACATTTCCGTTTACGTCATGAAACTCGTCTGGACTCGAAAAGGAGAAAAACTCGCGCATTGAAGGTTTGACAGTTTTATGTTTTATGATTGACGAATTAGGACAGCTGAGTTGACAGTTGCCTCCGCTGTGCTTAAGGACGTTCTCTCGTCCTTATACTAGAGGAAATCGATTTTCTTAGGATTTTCTTGAAACTGTGAATATACGTTAATTTAGGTGTGCTTTATGCATGGTATAAATTTCAGTACCTCTTCCGGGATAAAAAATGAAGATACTGAGCCTCAATGTTTCAACTTTTACTAATGAAAAGGTTTTCCAGGCCAAACGGTAAGAGATACGAGGTTGGCCAAGAGGACCAAAGTTGCTTCTCTCGTCGAGTTTTATAAGGAAAAAATGCCAAAACTAAAAAAAATTATAATAATAATAAGAGAAAATAGGATCGTAACGATATACGAACAATTAGAATCAAAAGCCATGCGATCCAAGCTTAGGTCTTTGACAGCCTTATATTAGTTACTGTATACATATATGTCTATATATATACATATAATTTTTCCAACATACTGCGCGCCGATTACTTTCGGACTTAAAACACAGTAATTGTTATAGAATTAAAAACCCTTCTCTCCCCGGAATTAAATCGATTCGATTTAATTATCTAATAACTGTAAAGAAAATTTATTGCGAAAAATATTACCTCAGTCAGGGTTTGAACCTGGAACCTCCCTCATTCCGTGTAGGGCGTCGTACCAATTCGACCACCGAGGCATGTGGTAATATTTATCGCAATAGCGATTTTAATTCTAACAATTACTGTGTTTTAAGTCCGAAAGTAATCGGCG